GATTTTCAAGAATGATCTATCAAAATATGCGGCTAGCTTTTCTGAAAATGAGCACTTTCTTATTTTTTGATGTGTTACTTTCCATTGGTACAAATGAAATACGATTCATCCATAGATAGTATCGTTTTATTATATTTTACTTTTGATTTCTGAATAAATATTCAACTCTTTAAGCCGAAAAAGCAATTGAAATTAAATCAATTTTATTTATTATGGCTTAAAACTTAAACAAAAGCTTTACGTAAAAATTTTACTTAATTTTGTTTGAAAATAATAGGTGATCTAAAGAGTTAGTTCTAAGCGCGTTCGGAGGAGAATTTGTTGCTGTACAAAGCCGTTGACTCTGCTTTTCAAATAAAATTTTCTTGTTGATACAAAAATTAAAAGATTAACACGTGCTGAATCGTCGAACTACCATCTCTTGTTTTCCATAGGTATCTATCGATTTGCATAAACCTATGCTCATTAAATTTCATACTAAAAGTAAATTATTTACCATTGACAGATACAGATTTTTGTGCTCTATTTTTCTACGACCGTTTCAAGTTTCATGATGCTATCGTTCAGGAGAAAAAGGCTTGCAAATAACATCTGGTAGTATTTTTGAATGCATTTTGAAAAATCATGTTTTTAAAAGACAGACTTGTGCTATGAATAAATTTCTGAATAAAATGCTGTAATTGGTAAATTAAACAGTGAAAACTGTTAGGTTATTTCGAATTAAAAAAGTACAATGACAAAAGTCTGTCTGAAAAAAGATTACCCCCATGTTTTCATATTTTTTAAGACAAAACTTTTTCTCACAAATACTTCTCCTAAAATTCTGAAGTTTCATTTATTTTATCATCACAGTTAGACGATTGAGTAGGTGTTCATCTTTTAAATTTTTCACAGACAAGAAAATCTCATTTAAAAAATGAAGTTAACAATTTTCAAGAGCAATGAATTCTCTATCGACTAAAACCCAGAACCATCTCTTTGAACACACTAAAAAACGCCTCAAAACCAAAGAATGAAAGTGCTCATTATAGTCTGAGTTATCCGTTAAAATTATTCAATTTAATGCAATTTTTGGTGCTAATTGAAAATAAATTAATTTTACCATAGCTGCACTTCTATAGCTCTAACATATGTCCAGAATTTCAAACGATTTGAGTCTATCTGAGTCGAAATTGATTTTTGAGGTAGGAGGCTTAACACAGAATGTGCAGCTTCAGAGCTCGTTTTTCTTTTAATTAAGGATTTCTCTTATTGTATAAAAAACCAATTCTATGAATAGGTGGCCATATTCTGAGATATTGAACTTTAAGCCCTGCAGAATCAAACTTGTTGACCCTGAAATAATATTTTTTGACTAACAAATATACTTCTTTTAGTACTACTTGTGAATAAGCATGTCTTGCTGCAGTTTTTTTTTCTCGAACACTATTTATGAATCTACAAAGTAGTATATTTTTGTTCATTACTTCACAAATGAAGAATAAATCAGGTACTATGTAAAATTAAAAAAGAAATAGCTTGACTATTTTACTAATGTATCTTCGACATTGACTCCGAAAAACATTCTTCACGATTACTCCGATGAAGAACCCTAATTGAACTTGTCATCCGTTTTTTCTGCATAAAATCTAAAATTTAAAAAAAAAATAAAACTCTGTTAGACATTGAAGTCTGATAGACACCTTCAAATAAAAATGAATATTAAATATATAGAATAAAGCCATACAAAATCCAAGGTTGCCAAATGGCATAGATTTGACTCTTGTTTGTTGAATATCATCCAAAAACGTCACCGTGTATGGCTGAATATTTCATTCAATTTGAATGTACCCGATCCAAGATCGACTCACAAGGATAGTAGAGTCTTAAATAAATAACAAATAATGAGTCATTTCTTTTTATCTTTCAAATTCAATTGTTGGCGTAAAAGAAAAAGAAGGATTTGTATATAAATGATGCACACATTTATGGATAAAGTTAAAACAAAAAGAAAGTTTAATATAAGATTTTTCGTATTAGTTTTGACGTGAAAATACACCAATACGATCAGTCATAGCAACGAATACATCGCCTTTTTTATTCACTGCTAATGATTCTGGATATTCTATACCACTTGTTATTAATTGTTGAAATTCACCGTTTTCATCAAAAAGTACTAAGCGATCATTATGAGAATCAGCAATAAGTAAATGATTTGTATCAGGAAATGCAGTTAAACCACGAGGACTTGAAAGTGCTTGAGGAAAAACGGATGATGTTTCACTCCCGAAACGTTGTACGTATATTCCATCAAGTGTAAATTTATGAACACATGAACCTAAATTATTATAAAAATAAAAATTAACAAAAAAATTCATCAAGTTATTAAACCTTGTGGATCTGTAATATAAATATGTCCATTTGTTGCTGTACAATATGCAAGTGAACTAAATAAATTTTTATCTCCAAAAAATCTTATAATATTGCCACTTTTTGGATCATAAACTTTGATTTGTCGATTAGCTTGATCACATACATAAATTGCATCATGCTCATCAACACAGATACCTTGATAATTTGTTAAACCAGCTTGAATATCATCACAAGCAATTGTACGTGTTAAACGTAGATCACTACTTAATATTAGTACTTGCAATTCATCACTCATTAATACTTGATCATTACTCATAACAGCTAAACCATTTTTTGTTCCATAATGACTTATAATTTTAGCCAATTTATTATCTTCTGTAAAAGCAACAACACGTTCATTTTTTGAATCAGCAATAAATAATAAAGAATCTGATGCACGATAAGCAATACCACGAGGTTGATTTAAAAATGGTTTTCCGAATTCGAGTGAACCAAGCGAATTGATTAATGAGAAAGGCATTTGAGATGTACTGGCCATCTATAAAAGAAAAATAAGTATAGATAGAACTGACAGTCAATAATTAATTTTCCGGCTTCCCTTTTTTTTTGCTATCTCAGATGCTTTCTGGAATCTTGGATATGTCTCTTTTACCAGAATCAAACAATCCTAGACAAGGTCAAAGTTTCTCTTAACAATAATTATATCGAGTAATAAACAGAGGAAAAAGACTATAATATTATAACTAATCTTTATATGTTCCAAAAAAGCATATCAATTTATTTTTTGCTGTCTTGTACCTTGTAATAAACAAATTTGAAATGTTTTATAATTAAAAATCAATAATAATGATTGATTGTGCAATCTAATATACTACACAATTGTATATTTGCGATCGTATGCTGGAAGAATAATCGACGTTTATATGTGATAGTAAAGATGAAACGGAAGATGAGATGTTGTTGGTATTGTGTCAATATAATAAACTGAATGAGAAAAGGATGTATATCTCGACATAATGCGATTTTCCTATCGTGTCGTCAGCCTGTGAGTCGGCGTATGACATGCGTCATTGTATAAATACAAGGTCTGACAAAAAAATGTACCAAAAAAACTATAGACATTTAGTAGTTACTATACTACTTTGACGTCCTTGCGAAACCAAAAATAAAGGCTTCCTCTTTTGATAATTTAGATATGGTACGCAGAAAAATATACTTAAGAATCATATAAAAAAAAATGAATTAATTTGATCTGATTTAGTAATTCCATTTGTAGTTCAAGGTAATACGATAATCAATCTTCGTCTTATATACAAAAAGAAAAGATCGTCAATATAGGAAAAAAAAATTGCATTCACGTGTGTTCTATTGCTGTCTTTTTCCATCAGTTATAAACATTTTGATGACGCTTATGTTGATAAATGTAGAAACAAATCGAATCATACATGAAAGAAATCTTATCTATCTAGTTGTCTGATAAATCAATCAGAAAAGTTGAGAAAATTAAGTTTTGAGCTCGCTTCAGGCAAAAAATGTTTCCATTACTTTGAGTATAGTTCAACTGAAAAAATAATAATAATAAAATAAAAGTAGTGAAAATCAATTTCATTCAGTAGATATCATTTTTCATATACACTATATTGGTATATTATATAATTGATTTGAAAGATTGAAAAAAAGAAATAACTAACTTAAAGATATCAACGATAGAAAAAAAATTCTAAATAAGTATATAAACGAAATGAAATTACTGAGATAAAGCTATTCTTGTTTTTTTCTGTCGTCCATATTGTTTTCCTAAATCTTGGGATTTTTTCTGGACCAAATATAGCACAACAACAAAAATAAGTCATGAGACCAATGGAATGTCTATAAACATAGATCTATAAACTTGTTTTACACGTGCACACGTGTTTAATACTGCCACAATTCAAACAATATATAATGATGTTGCAAATTCGTTAAATGACGTCAACGCTGATAATTAATTTTTTGTAATCAACACTAAAATGTTATCATACTCATTTGTCGTCTGTAAGACTATAAATAAAGACTCAAGTCGATAAAATATTGATTTCTTTTCAAACTGATATCTATTGCCTATTAATTTATTATTTTTTCTTAGTTTGGCAGATTTACAACTAAGATAATCGGAGTCAGAAGAATGTTCGACCAGAAAAATTTCTCGTTTTGTTTTTCTTCTTTTATTTTGATTTGAAACTTTTTATTTTATTATTCACTGTGCAAATGGATAAAAAAAAACCAAAAAAATGTGGGCAATAAAAAGCAAAGAACATGATAATTGAAAAACAAAAAAAAAAGTAAAAAGAATTATTGATAAATAACAGATCATGTTTATGCATGGACGTGTTTATACTACATGATTCAGATCATTCTGATTTATCATTATCACAAAAACAGAAACTTAAAAAAAAGAAATGCATTCATTTATATGAGACTACAACGAGAAGAGATTCAATGGAATGTGAGAAAAAGAAAAAGCCTACAATGAAATAATTCTTCAATTCAAGAGAAAAAAAAATCTCATCAATTCCCGAAATCATTTCAAGAATAAATTATATAAAATACTTTCACCATCAGAAAAAAAAATTGAAATTGATCTCATTTTTTTCTTAATAAATTGATCATTAAGCGTTTCCCGATGCTTGATTTGGTGCATATTGTTCTGGACGTGGAGGATTTCTAAGTTGCATAAACTGGTAAACTCCATCAGCTATATAAGCAAACAAAGCTAAAAATCCAAAAGTCTATAAAAACAAAAACATTGATTATTTTTTCTTATTATCTTCTTTTAATTAATTATTTACCGCTGCACCAGCATAAACACCATTCTCTTTTCCAGCTGTTGCAATAACAATACTTCCAATAAAATAAAATAAAGCAAAAAATGTACACCAACCAATTTCCTAAATGAAGTCGTTTCAAAAATTTTTAATAATTATTTCAATAACTTACAATTTTATGCCAAATTTCTCTATGAAACATGGCTTTTAGATTTATTAAACATATAATTAATAATACAACTGTTATAATAAGTGCGAATATGCAAACAAATAAAAAAAAGCCTCGACGTCCGTTACCCTCCTCCAGATTCGGTCCAGCACCGCATAAAATTATCGAAAGTAGATCACAAAACTAAATATTATAATAAATATTATTTTTCTTTAATTTTATATAAATAAATTTACCAATTCAATGGCTTTTAATACAAAAAATGGTGATCTAACATATTCCCATTGAAAAGCGAATACTGATCTGCAGCTACCCATGGTTGGTATGCTTTAATCCAAGTTTTCAAATCTACAAGAACTAGATGTATAAAAATTTTAATTTGAGACTGATCAAACAAACAAAAAAAGAAATCAGAGAACATATTGATTGACAGAGGTTATACATAGAACGTTTATTCCACCATTTTTCGTTTCCTTCCGTTAAAAGTCAATATGAAGATAAAGTATGGTGTGCTCTATTTGACAAGAGACCGTTAAAGAAAAAGAAAAAAAATCATGAACGAGAAAAAGAAACGGGGCTAATGGCATGACCTCTCAGTAGAATAACTAGTAACCACAAATATATCCGACTATTGAACAAAGGCTGACCGAGCTTGTCAATAGAGAACAATCTCACGTTATCTTGGATAAATAGAACTAATAATGAATAGTCTCGTTTATTGATATAAAAAAAAAAGAGAAAGAAAAATACTAGATTTATGTCTAAAGAAAGAGAGTGAGAATAAAAAAAAGAGAGAAATGAACTTTTTGTAAGTCGACGAGTTCTTTTTCTTTTCTTTCAAGAATAATATTTTTATTTTTTTGTTTCAATATCACCAAAGTAAACAAAAATGCTGTGATAAGAAGCACTCAAAGAAGAAGAACAAAAAAAAAACTTGTTTAAATTCTAATCAACCATTATTTGTTTCCATTCTCGGACAAAAGAAAGAAAGAAACATCGTCCGATTGAAATGAATCATTAGTTTTTAAAAAATTTAATTGGTTTATATCAACCAATAAGATTTATTCATTCTACCATAATAAACAATTCTTTGCCTTTATTATTAGGAATATTTCGGACTTTTTTCTTATTGTTACTATTGTTATTTTTCTTCCTTTTTTCTTTTTTTTTAAACCAAATGATCTTATCCTTGTATGGTGTTTTGCCTTCTACGTATAATAAATTAACAATGAAATAAAGGGTTTTCTTTTTGTTTCTTCTTCTCTTTTGTTTATTTAACGGATCACTATATGTTGACAAGGCCGAAATGTTTCCGTGAATGCGTAGCGACGGACGGACAATCGAACGTAGCATAACAATGCTGTCCGTCTTATTAAGAAAGCCAAATAAAAAAAAAAAAAAACAATGTTTAGTTCACGTATGTATCCATCATAACAACATACATTTGATGAGTAAACCAATTTGTAGCCTTCGTCATCATTTATATATTTTTCATTACGCATCAACAATTCGATCAGCTGATTTATTTCTGCTGACTCATTCAACGTTGTTAATAATGTGAGATTAAGATAGAGAGAAAAAAAAGAACAGATTTACTAAGATTATGTGCGAAATAAATTTCTTTTAAAAAAAAAACAACAACAACGGAATACATTTTTATTCTAGCATTATATCGAATATATTCATATATATATATATTTTAATTCTTCGATCCCCGATTGATCGATGGCTGAACCGACAATTGTTCTTCGAAGTCCCGTTAAACCTGTAACATCATCAATTCAATGCTTATCACCAAATTCATCATTAAATTCACCAACACATAATAGTACTGTTATTATTCTCAAAGATAATAATAATAATGATCAACAACAACAATCATCTACAACAACAATTAAAAATTCAATAGATAATCAATCATTATTTTCATCGTATGAAAATAAAAAAAAAAAAAGATTTTCATGAAAAATTAAATATCATTTTTTTTCTTTGATACTTTTTCTTCTAGTTTAAAAAGTGTTCAATCCAAACTTTATTATGCTGGTTATACTGGATTATATAATTTGGGTAATACATGTTATGTTAATTGTGTACTACAATTACTTAGGTTTGAACAAAACAAAAATAAATTAGTTTAGTTTAAATTAAAATTTTGATATTTCTCTAGTCATGTACCACAATTTTGTGATGCAATTTGTTCTATGAGTTTTGAAAGTCTTGGTTTAGAACAACCATCAGATGTGCCAATGGTATATATTTTAATACATCAATTTTTTGATAGAACTACAAAACAAAAAAAACAATTTTTTCAGGTTGCTTCATCACATAATCCAACACGTTTAAAAGGTGGTAGTCGTGGTTTACTCAAAGCACTTGAAGCTCAACCACGTCGAGTACCATGGTAATGAATCGATATTAATTTATTTAAATAATTTTTTTTTTTTATTTTTTTTTTTTTTTGTTTTCGTGTAAAGTTATCTTGCATATGAATTACATGGAACATTTAATATAATTTGGTCGGGTAAATGTATGGTTTATTCACCATTGAATATGATTGCTGCTGTTCGACGTTTATTACCGAGTTTTGAACCATGTGCAATGGAAGATGCACAAGAATTTCTTGAGTAAAATTATATGAAATAAATTTGTAAATAAATATATATATCAATGTTTTTCTATAGAGCACTATTATCTGCTGTTACAGATGAAATAAAAGCGAATAAGTTAGCGGATACAAATATAATTAATGATCTATTAGGTTTCTCGTCGGAAAGTCAGGTAGAATATTATTTTAAACAAAAGAAATTATATTAGTTGTATTTCTTTTTTTTTTAAATTAGATATTATGTGAACAATGTCATCGTTTATCAGTCACAAAAACAGATGAAACATTTATCACATTAACATTCTCAGAGAAGATGCTTTGTGATGTAAGAGGATCTAGTCGTCGGCGTTCATGCCATCTTACAGGTTTATAAAAAATTAATATAAATATAATTTATTAAATAATTAATTTAGAAATGCTTGCTCATTTTTATCAATGGGAAGCTTTATCCACACCATTTCATTGTTCAAATTGTACTGGTAAAGATCTTAAAAATTTTATTTATTTTTTTCTTTGAAAAATTTTCTTCTTATTTTTTTTTTTTAATAATTTAGTTCGAAGTCCATCAAAAGAAGGTACAAAAGCACAAAAACGTTTAATAATATCGAAACTTCCACAAGTATTACACGTTGTCTTACGTCGATTTCGTTCATTACCACAAACAACTTTACGACGACCAACATCTCGTCAAGCACGTCAATTATCACATAAAATAACATTACATGTTAACTTCGATGAATATCTTGATATGGCACCATATTGTACACAATCAACACTTAAATCTATATCATCAACATGTTCAAAACTCAATGGTACTACAACGAATGAATGCTTATATCGTTTACGTGGTGTTATTGTACATTATGGTAAAAGTATCAATACGGGACATTTTGTTGCTTTTGTTTATAATGATGTTCTTGGTAAAAAGAAAATTTATATAGTATTTTAAAAATTATTATTATATATTTATATATCAATAGGTGAATGGCTTCGTTGTGATGATCATATTATTGAACAAACAACATTTGAATCTGTTAAAACATCGGATGCTTATATACTTGTTTATAGTAGATGTATGACAAATACAGTTTCATCTACTATTCTAACAAATCCATCAAGTTTGAAACAAAAAAATAAATAAAATAAGAATATTAATATTTTTCTGTATCTTTTTTTTTTTAAATAGTTACATCAATGACATGTCAATTAGCTAAACGAAAACGAGCTATATCAGTTGATAATTTAAATGAATCGAAAGATGATTTATTAATATCTGAAAATATGAATGAAATGAGTAAATTAATATTAAAATTAATTTTTCTTTTTTCAATTAATTTTTATAATGTTATAGATATAAAACAAGATAAATCCGATCAACATTCTGATGTAACAAAACATTTGAAACTTTTCTGTCTTAATTTGGGTAAAAGAAATATAGAGAAAACATTCCTTATATATTTATTATTAATAAAACTTTTATTATGTTTTTTTTTTTTTTTTTATTAGATCCATTAGCAAGTGGTCTTCGTCGTCGAGCACATTCACTTAATTTTTCTATTCGTAGTAGTCAACCTTCAGTTGATAATACGCGACAAAATACTTTAATATTGCCTGCAGCTAAACGTCGACGTATAGAACCGATTAATAATCTTTCTCTATCAGAAAATAATTCATCATCATGTGAGTAAATATTTGTTTTTGTTTGAATTAAAATAAATTATATTTAAAATTATTATTATTATTTGTATATAGTATCACAACAAATAATTCAAACAAGAACTAAAATTTCATCAACGGTAAATAATAATGATTCATCAGTAATTCCACCGAAAACAAAAAAATCTACAAGAAGACGTCGTCGAACTGATCCTTATACGCGTATGCACTAAAATAAATAAATAGCTTTATTTTTGTTATCAACGACTTTTTTTTTAAAATTATTGTTAGGCAAACGACGAATGACAAAAACATCCAATAGAAAAAATCGACATAAAATCGATGTATCGAATCTCGTACCTCTACCATCAATTGATCAAACAATATCAACAGAATCTCTTTTATCATCTGGATGCTCACCTTTATCATTCACTTATGAAAACACAAATGATCCAAATATACCAGTTACAAAGTATTTAAATTTTAATCCTTTAGTCACATAGTCTAACTACCAATAAAGTACATTGAATTCTGATTGCAAGAATTAACCAAAACTTGATCGATCTTCATATAGAAGAGCTAGAAGGTCAACATGGATTTTTTTTCTTCAGACAAGGATATTTCAGTGCTGACTCTATTACCAATCAAACTGCTATGTATAACAGTCTCAATGTGTCTGATTCTTTGAGGAATCTCTACATGAGAGTTGATGCGACTCGTCGAAAAGTGATTCATATCTCTGGTTGATTTAAAATGATTTACTTTGAATTTTTCTTTAATTAGTGCTATGTTCTAATCAATTTTTCCTTAAAAATTTTACGATGGCATTCATCAATGGAGAAGAGATCCTTCATGTTGAGATCATTCCAGAAGATAGTGACTTTCCTGCGCCTCCGGAATACTGGGGATTAGAGTATCATTTCTGTAATATAATATAGGGATGCAAATCTTTATTCATTAATAGGAAAATTGAAGTTAACCTTTTTTAAATTGTGGAAAATTAGACATACCAAAAAAAGCTTTATTTGAAGTCCAAGGAATAAAAACTAATGTTTTCATAGTAAATCCTTCTCATGAAAAACAATCGACTTCGAGTTGCTGCTTGCGACTAGAATTTACTGAGCTCTATTATTTATAGTCAAAATATTATGCAAAAGACTTTTTGTTACTCAGTAGCGAAACTTCTTTCAATTACAATATATTTTCTTTCTTCTATTATAATTTCAATTGCTTATTTATTCAGGCGTGTTGGTCGTATTCGAATTCAGCGATGCATCAATGGACCAACAACAACAACACAATCAACTGTACGTTTAATAACATCCGGTGAAACTAATACTCGTTTATCTTTACCATCACAACCAACTATACAATCATCATCATTTTTAACTAGTTTAATCACTGTACGACGTTCCAATTCGCTCAATAATACTATAAGCAATCCGTCTAATTGTTAAAAAGAAAAAAAAAGAAAATAATTTTTTCTCATTTTTGTTTTTCTTTCCTATTGTTCGTTAATTGCTGTTGTTTGTGCGTATATATATATATATATATGTTATAATTGTTTTAATTTCATCATCAAACGAGCAAAAAAAAACAACAGTTTCTGTTCGACAGATTCTGTCTAATTATAACTTTTTATATATGGTGTGAAGTTTTTTTTCTCTTCTTTCTATTGCCATTCACGTAAGCTTTGTGTTAGTCATCATTTCTTTTTTTTTTCTGACGTTTGTTTTGGTCGTTGCGTGTCATATTTCCTTTATCGGTTTTTTTCTTTTCTTACTGTATCTTTGTTTTACCATACATACACTATAATACCCGCGGTAAAATTGTGTCACACCTATTATAAACATTTATTTCGAGGATGTAAACGTGTTTTTAGATTCCACAATATTCGATTAAATATACATCAACACACGTATATCAGTTTTGTTTGGAGTTTGTTTTTCTTTGATTTTGTCATTATTTTAGATGGCAACAACAACGACGACTACGTCAACGACAACTACAGGAAAGAGCAGTGTAACATTGTCTCTTCATCCTTTAGTTATTATGAATATAGCTGAACATCATACACGTATTCGTGTTCAAACATCGCAAGTAAAACCTGTTTATGGTGCTTTATTAGGTAAAATAAAAGGTCGTCATATTGAATTATGTAATACATTTGAATTTAAACTTCTTAATGATACAACATCAACATCAACAACTTCTAATGTAACAATTGATATGGATTTTTTAACAAAAAAACTTGAATTAATTCGACAAGTTCATCCTGATCTTGATTTTACCGGTTGGTATACAGTTGAAAGTAAAGATTGGAATCCATCTACAATGAGTTCATTTTATGCTCAATTATGTTCACTTAATGAAAGTCCACTTCTTCTTCGACTTGATCCTATTGGTGTATCAAATGAATTACCCATACATGTATATGAAACAATTGTTGATTTAGGAACTAAAATTGATTTTATTGAAATACCTTATACACTTATAACTGAAGAAGCTGAACGTATTGGTATTGATCATGTTGCACGATATTCTGTAACTGATGGTACATCTGATACATCAATTGTATCTGATCAAATAGCTATACAATATAATGCTATTCGTTTACTTTATCAGCGTATGCTTATTCTACTTGAATATGTACGTGCAGTTAAACAAGGTCAATTAGAAAGAAATGATGATCTTTTACGTGAAATTGGTTCTTTATGTCAACGTTTACCTATTATAAATACAGATGATAATAATAATCAAATGTTTCGTGAAGATTTTGATATTCAACAATCAGATGTAGCTCTTTTAGCTTTATTAGCATGTTGTACACAAGAAATTAGTACATTGAACGATTATTTGAGTAAGTTGTTTGGTAATTTATTTTATTTTTTTTTGTTGAAATAAATAAATAAGAAAAACGAATTTTGAAAGTTTAGAATAAAGTCTAAATAACTTATTTAATTTAGAAGCAATATAGAATTTTTGAAGCGTACAGTTTCATTTCTTTTTTGATTTATTGTTTTTAGTATTTGATTTTGTGCTAATTTAATTTATATACATTTCTATTACAAAATTAATATGATTGGATGTTTGAATCAATCAAATAGAAAAAATTTTCTTTTCTATGAAGATATTGATTAAGTAGAAATGACTGCATGTAGGATTTAGAGAACATGACATCGAGTTTTTAGATCACGCAAAAAATTTATTCAATTATTTTCTTTTTTACTTCTATAAATGATATAACTTTGAATATAGAAGTCATTTTTTATAGAAAAATAATTAATAAATTAGATTTTCATACTGAAATTTTTTTCTAAGGTTATACAATTAATTTGATTTTTATCGAATTATTTCTCCTTTGGTATATGATATATTTCAACAAAATCATTAATCTTTTTTTGTCATAGTTAGAAATGTGATAAATTGATATTGACACTATTCTTTTTAGTTTTCTAAAGAATATTCTTATCTTAAATTCATATATATAAAAAAAAAAGAAATTTAACGAATTTTCGATGTTTTCGTTTAGACAAATTTCAAGTTGTGCATGATAAACAGCAACATTCATCTGGTCCCGGTGGTAGTTTTGGATATGGTGGTGGTGGCCGTCGAATGGTTCGTGGTACTGGTTATTTTCCAGCCTCGTTTGTCTGATGTCATGAACACATAACGTATTTTTTTATTATAATAAAGAAATTCTTTTTTTTTTTCTGTGGTGAAAATCAACTAATTAAATGCGATGATGAACTTATCGAAGACAAAAAAATTGATAGAAGCTGGTTATTCATTTGCATATAGATAATATTAGATAGGCGAAAGAGCCGATTGTATTTGTCTTGCATTCATCCCGATTAGTGTTGCCTTCAAATCTTCTTCAATCAAATCAATGAACGTGCTGGCTAAACAACAAAGAATTAACATTTTTTTTTTGTAGTGATAAACAAGAAAGGGAGAGACCGAAAGAAAAAAGAGTACAAATTGTTCTTTGTTAGTTTAATAATAATGTACAGAGAGTGAGAGGAATAAGACAACAAAACAAAAACCGATTACTACAAGAAAATATTTATCATTATTCAGTGCGTTGATATCAATGTTTCCTGTAGTTGATTCGAAGTACCGATGAATATTACAAACAACAATACTAATGAATGAAAAAACTGCAACGCATTTTTTCTTTTTCTTCTTTTTTGTTCATATTTAGTTTTCTTCTGTAATATTCATTTGCATTTATTGGCTTGACGAGTCAATTTTTCGGAAAAACATGTCTTTCTTTCTCTTTGTCTCTCCTCTCTCTCTCACACTTCTCCTGTGCTCTTCAATTAGTTGTCTCTATTCTTGCACAGATAAAGTAATTTATTTGCTGTCTTTTATACAAAGCTGGTTCTATTTGGTGCTCTTCACTTTGATTACAATATGAAGAGGAAGAAGATGTCTCTCTGTTTCTCTCTCCCTTTTTCCTTTCATATATATTTTTTTTCTTGTGTTCATTACATAAAAAAAAACGACAAGAACAACTACTTCCAGTTGCATTCATTCATCCATCCATCCGTCCATTCATCCATCTATCTATCTTCTGTGCTCCATCGATTTTTTTGCTTAGTTCTATGATAGCAAGCGAAAAAAATTCTTAACATTAGAGAAGAACCGAAGAAAGGAAGGGGAGGCTAAGAGCAACAACGAGTCGATTCGAAATAGACCGGCAACAGTGGCGCGGGCGTTTTCCTCGTCCTCGTCCTCGTCATAGATAGATAGAAAATATAATCTATCAGCGCTCGCACACACATACATAAACATTTTACATGATTGTGTAGCCCCCTCGTCGTCCCTCTCTCTATTCTCCCATCATTCACACACAAGGCAATCTAAAAGGCATGGAACAGACAAAAAAACATTGCGGTTCTAATATCGACGAACAACGATAAAGACGACGACGAGGAGGAGAAAGAACGAGAGAAAGACGGAAGAAAAGTGCCAAAAAAAATGAAGCAAACATGAGAAAGAAAGAAAGACGAATGAATAAAGAAGCAAATGCTTTTTTTTTGCAATACATACGTGTGCGAATGTCCACGATACATCATTTGCTCTCTCTCCCTTTTTGCTTGACATGCTTTCTTGCTTGCCTCAATTTTTTTCTTTTTACTACTATACCATCTGGTGCAGTACAAAGTATAAGAACGTGTATATACAGAAGCACAGAGAAAAAAAACAAGAGTCAATACAAGAAAAAAAAACGACCGACCAGTGGCAACAACAGAAACTAGTATCAGATCTATCCAAATTATCCTCTTTGTCTATCTCTATTCTTATATTCTTGCGCTACCAAATTGATTAAAGATTTTAGTATGAAATGATGAAATCATTCGTCAGATAATTTTAACGCAATCAACATCTTCTATGTAGACATCAAGACCGAACAGCAATAACAACAACAACAAAAATAACTAAGAGCAGGTAAGGAATGTTAAATAAAGATCAATGAGGGTTATGCTCTCTTATTTCAGTATCACAAGCAAAAGCAACAACCGAATGACGGCAACGATCGGAAACAAATGAGAGTTCATCTCAAGGGATTAGAAGCAGCAGCAATAGTAGTAGTCGAAGCAACTCCATTTATTATTCTTTACCATTATCATCTATCCCTATGTCTATGCAAGTGCCGATCACACGTTGTGTGTCGCCGACGCCGTCATTTTTTTTATTAGATAAGTGACATGCGAACATAGTAGCGGGTATTGATAATATTGTATCCTGTTCCTATTGCATATTCAACGAGGTAGGATGAATCGGATCACATTAGGTTTTTTTTCTTCTTTTTTTTAACATTACTCGATGTTTATCTTGTGCATTTTCTAATGGAGAAAGGCTTTTAAAAAAAAAGTCGAGAGTGTAAAAATTTCTATTTTTATCTTCTATATTCACATATATTATTCAGTATAGAAGATACTATTGAAAAAGACAATTAGTAAAAGGAATAGTGAGATCATACCGAGTTAAAAGTACTTTTTTTTTCTTGTCGAGTACGTGTGCAACATAGTCTTTTAATCACTAGAAATCATCTCCATTTGAAAGATCAAGAAATCGGCTTATATGTTAAAAATATCGACTGTCTAATGCGATCATCAGTAAACGAACGCAGCTGATGGCATAGACACAAACACTTATTGTGTAAAGTTGCAACCCGAAGCTGTAATTAGAACTTATTCTTTCCTTTTTTTCTGTATACATATATATATATATAACCGTAGACATACTCGCTTTCGACAAGGTTGAACTCTTCTTCTGTATAGTTGAGCAGTATGTGTGAGAAGAATTCTTTCTTGTTCTTCATTCAACATATGCAAGAACCGATCGAGTCGAATGATAATGTTCAAAATGCAAGTGTTGTGTATATATATATATACGCATTTGTCGACTATTGCTATTCGATTCTTTAGCCAAAGGGATATGTACACATTTGTTCATTCATTCATTCATTCATTCATCACGCAATTTTCTTTCGTCTTTCTCATTCTTTAATTTTTTTTTCTTACTATTTTTTTTCTCATGCTTACTCGATGTACAACTCGTCGACAGATGAGTAGTAATATTGCTTGTCTAGATGGAAATGTCATTTAAGGTCAGATGTTTTGTCTCTTTTCACAGAATTACCGTTTCGACAAGCAATTAAACCTAATATGTAATAAAACCTATTAGCGATTATTGATGGATGTGTCGATTCTCTATAGTTGCTTCAAATAATCATCAAAGAAAAAAAAACGAAAGAAAGAAAGAAAGAAAGAAACAACAAATATAACATAAAAAAAAGACAACGAGATAAAGATACGTATCTTCTTTATACTTGACTTCGTCATCATTATAGTTTTGTCGTTTTTCTTTTGCTTCTGCTTTTTTTTTATTTCGTTTGAAAGTAACCTTGTTGCTCATCATGGTCGTCATCATTTGATTCGTTTTTATTATTACATTTGATTGATACTTATAATATACAATATTGCCTTTATTGTCGATTTGAATTTTTAGTTGAAATCTTTTTGATCTGTTTTTTTTTTGCATATATATAAGATCAACAATATTTATTTTGATTTCATTATTTCAATGTTGTATCATTTACCGTCTATTTATACATATATGAATACAAGAATGGTTAATGTCTGTCTACTGTTTGTTTACCTGCTTATTTGTTTATCTTTACATTTTGGAACAGATGAGTCTTCAGCACCTCGTTAATCTTTGTCACAAATTGATTTTCTTCTTTTGGACGGAGGTTTGACGAGGAATTGAGGCTTATCAAAACAATGAAATCGAATCGTTTCGCTGTCTACATATCTTCTTTTTTTTTCATATAATAATAAAAGTTATATATTATTAAAAATTCTTTTGAATATTTATATATTTCTATTAGATACTATAGTAATATTAATAATAATCTTTATTGTTTTGTTTTTGTTGAATAATCAAAACTTACAAGTATAATATCAAGTCAAAAGTCATACTACTTGAAACAAATAACAGAGTAATCAATTTAGTAAGTAGTTCAACTGATCAAATTCTAAAAAAAAACAAATAGAAACAAACCTATAGGGTAATCTATTCATCAACAGAACAACAATAGAAGTAAAATTAAAACAAAATAACAAAGATGATGAATTAATTGCAAATATATATATATGCTTATAAAAAGAGAGCTGCGGGTATATATTTTTGTGGACTCGAGGGAGCTTAATTCGAATATTTTTCTATCAATATCTGACACTTTTTTGCATATATGAACAAGTGAAGAATCAAGGTTTTAGATATCTATTAGTTATACTCAGATCAGAATTAAGAAAGTCTATGTACAGTTATTTTTTATGGTTTACTTTTTCATCATTCGATGTTTAATGAATTAAAAGTTTTCGCTTCGTTGAAAAGATTGTAATGTTAACAAAAAAAAAAAAAAAAGATGAAATCGAACTATCAACTGATAAACGAAATTTGCTATTGAAAATTCTCAAATCAATGATAACACTGAACTTTTCACCTCTATGAAATAGTTTCAATTAGAGTTATTTAAACGATATCACGTAAGTAGGAGGTTGCAGGTTCACTTTTTTGTGAACATATACTTGACAATATATTAAACTTTGAACCTAGCTCTGAAGGGACCGACTCCTAGCTCCCTAATTATAAATATAAAAGTATTATAATTTTAATATATTCTAAGTATAAATATATGATATTGTATGGAAAACACATTGAATAAAATAATTTATTTCTAGTCGGTTGTTCTCATCAGGTTCATAATTGATTTCGATCATGACTATATAAGATAAAAAGTAACATCGTTTTTTTTTCTCTTTTTTTTTGAACTAAGATTTCCCATGAGAATAGAAACAGTCGTCGGACATAGTTCAATACTATGATAATGGTTAGTTTTTTTTTCTCTTTAGAAAACATGAATTATGTATATGGAATAAATAATTTTCTTTTCCAATCTATACTTGATACGTAATCATCATTCGAACATTATTTACACAAGTTTTGATTAATATTTTATGAAAATTTTTATTTCTATATATTAAATATTGAATACAATAGTGAATCATTAGATTTTATTGCTCAAAAGAAGTTTATTATGAGACAATGTTTTTTATTTTTAGTATCATTTAATTAATAATAAATAATATTCTCTCATATGATAGAATTATTTTGATCTGTTTATATCAAATGACATTGTTTATTTTTGTTTTTAATTTTACAAACGTTTCCGTTTTATTGATTTCAATCGATTTTGAGTTTTTATTTTCTTTATTGAACGTTTTGAAATCGTTTCATTTAGTAGATTTTTATTAGAATTAATTGATTCTAATTGATTATTCTTATTATAATGAATAAGATCATGCATTATCGTAACACATTCTTTAGGATATTGTCCAACAGCTGCTTCACTAGATAACATAATATAATTAGCTTTATCTAAAACAACAGCTCGATAAAGATCAGAAACTTCAGCACGTGTTGGTACTGGACATGTAATCATTGATTCAAGTATTTGAGTAGCAATAATAAATGGTTTATTTTGTTTTTGACAACGTTGAACTAAATTAGCTTGTATAAATGGAACACGAATATGTACTGGTGTTGTTTCAAGAGCTAAATCACCACGGGCAATCATAATCATATCACATTCATTGATAAGATTTGTTATATTAATTGGTTCAATAGCTTCAGCCATTTCAATTTTTACTATAATTTTTGGATAATAATCTTTTATATTATTTAGTGAATCTTGAATGGCTTTTTTTAATCGATGAATATCATTGATAGTTTTAACGAATGATGTAGCTACATATTTAGGTTTGATTATAGGTAATAACTTTTCAATAAGACGAAGATCATTTTCAGTAAGAAAATCTATATCTATTTTACCATCTAGAAAATGAAAAGAATTTTCTTATAATATTACATATAAACAGAGAGAGATAGATGATATCTATAGGGAGGGACATAACTATAGAGCAGTTGTATTTTTAAGTTTTCTTCTCAATAGTAATTAATAAGCTAGCAAGAATTGAAAAAAAAAACAATTGTATAGTTGAAAAAATTCTCACTCGGATTGGTAGATTCAAATACTTTGAAAACATTCCTTGAATACGGATCTGCCGAAAATCAAGGTCCTAAAACCAGCTGTCTAGTTTGTATACAAAGCTTCGGGGAAAACATTTTGCTTGATAGAATAATTGATGTTGAGTAAAATGACACGTCTATGGTCTCTCGATGACCTTATTTCATCGAACTGCATGCAATTTATAGATTTTGCCATGTTTGATGCTTTGGAACCTTCTATAAATTGAATGTAGTTCGATGAAGGAAGGTCATAGCAAGGTCAATAACGCCTTATTTTTATTAGAATTATCTACTATATCAGATAAAAACTTTTTTCAAAAGTTTTGAATGGAAGTCAGAAATTTGATCTTGCTTTTTCACATATCCTAGTGCTCTTTTGAAGGCCGGATTGACCTACCGGGAGCTTGTGATTATTGTACGATGTACTATGTGTCTATGCTCTGAAAAATAGATGTTCATTATGGTAAAGTTCGAAATCACCTTCCAGGAAAAGAAAATCTAGATAAAACTTAAAACTTGTTCTCTTTCTTTTTTACTAACTTACAAGGTAAATTAACACCTTTGTGACTTTTAACAGGGCCACTATTGAGTGCTTCAGCTTGTATACGATTGACTTCAACTTTGAGTACACGAAATTGTAGTTTTCCATCATCAATATAAACAATATCATTGACTTTAGTCGATTTTTCAATTGAGAACTGACATGGAAGAATTTTTATATTATTATTTTCTTTCTTAATTGTATTTTTTTCTTTAGTTTTATTTTCTTTTTCAATAATCACTTTTTCACCAACTTTTACTACAAGTGATTTATCATTAATTTCTCCTAAACGAATTTTTGGTCCAGGCAAATCAAGCATCAAATCTAAACCAGCATGAACAGCAAGTTTAGCCATACGTATATGTTCTTCAATAATGCCATGAGATCCATTCAAGCGAGCTATTTCAACGGAATGTTCTTTAAAATATTGTAAAATTTCAGGATTACCACTAGCTGGTCCTAATGTTGTTATTATCTTGGTTGACATAATATAAATAAATTGAAAAAGTAATATCGATAATATATAAATAAATACTAGACTGATGATAATCATTGTCACTAAGGAGATTGTTCACAATTTTTCTTTGTCTTTGGCAATTTATTATTCAATTCTGAATTTGTTAAAGATGATATGTGTTTGTATAGATCAAATGTTTTTTTTTAGTTCCTTTTCTTTTATGAACATGAACAAAACTATTTGTTTTTGATATAATATAATAAAAGACGATGTAATAAAATTTCGTTTTGAATTAAAATATTATTTTCGTTCTCTGTAATTCATGTTTTCCATGTTAAATGATTATTATGATTTCAGCTTGTCTATTAAAATCATCATACAATGACGTTAACCTTGTAATGAATATTTCTAAGTCGATTAAATAATAGATCTTTAAAGTAAATTATGATATAGTTTCAATTGAAAATGAACTATTTACATCTTCATGCATTAATTCTTCATATTGAATAAAAATATATTAATATTGTAATTGTCTTCGTTTGAGATTTTATTTGATAGAAAAATTCATTTCTTTATCTCATCAAATTATTGTATGGATTTTTATACAGAAAAAGAGTTTATAAACAATATTATAATGAATTCATGAAGTTTCAACTACTTTTCGTAAAAAGTTCTATCAAAGAGTGTGTCGCAAGTCTATAGATAGCATGTTCTTTCATTGTTTAACTATGGAAGAGAATCATGAAAAAGTTTTAAATACTTGATTAAAATTAGAATTTTGTGTTTTTTCCAAATCTCTGTTCAGAATTTTTGTAAGACTCACAGGTCAGGATATATGAGTGAATCTTGGAAAGGTCTGAAAATAAAGTTTGGTCGGTTTTCACTGCTTAATAAAACGTTCAGAATAGAGTTAACATTTATACTAAATATATCAAGAGAAAGAACAAATATTTTTATACAAAACGATCTTCTGATCAACAGTTTTTACAAGACATCTATCAACCGTGATGGATTTGTAGTTCCTCAATTTCTAGGCTTACAAAGTGTACTCGGTTGTTTCTGACTAAAAGGAATGAGACTCTCAGTTTTTTGTTGACTTTTTTAAAGAACATATTTGACCTTTATAGTGTGCAAAACAAATAGCTAATAGAATGTATTCAATAAGAAACATCATAGCTGTGAAGTCAGATCAACCACAATGGATATTATTATGAAAGTAACCAGAAAAAACACTGATCAACAACACGAAATCAAATTTTCAACAAGATAAAATTGCATTCTCTGTCTTAGGACCAGTTAATGAAATGACCTTTCAAAGATATGGTCATCATTTCTGAACCTTCGATGCGAAAAAACTACGAACTTCTGATTCTAATCTAGTGTTGAATACTTTCTATTAACCCTCTTTATTGATTGAAAAATAAAGGAACATTTTTTGTTTAAAGTTTTTCGATGCATTCGTTATAGAATATCTTGTGACATCTTTCTAATGTAAGTAGGCTCTGTATATTGTGTACGTATACTATTATCCGATTAGTTGGACCAAAATAGCGTGGTTCCTTACAAATAAAAGAGCCAATAAACTATATATATTCCGAATCTTTATTTAGTAAATTGCATCCGCATATCAAATCTGAATTTTTTATTGATTGAATCCAACAAAGCTTTGCTTTCAGTATTGCTGAATTACTTTTCTTTATTTATTAATAAATCATAATACCAACATAAAAATTATGTAAGTAATGTACTCTAATACATTTAATTGCTTTAATTGATTGTTAGTATTTAATCATTCAGTAGGTTTTGCTCAGTAAAAAGTTAGTTTTCGCATAGGAAATAGTTTGAAAACTTCAGTAGTTAATTTAAAATGACTCAATATTTATGAATGTGATTGTGGTTGTGCGGAACTGATGTGGCTGTCGATCGTTTCTGATAGCAGCACCTACACTCTGCACTCAATCACACACCCACATATTCCCACTGACATCTATACACATAAATTATTAACTGACTGAGCCAACATAATAGTTACAGAACCCTACATTATATATTGATAATGTGTCTATAATATTGAATATTTATTTTAAAAAAATACTAAACATTTAGCTTATATTCTTAATTGAATATAGCTTGATCTTCAGGTCTTTTTGGTTTCAATATTTTCAATTTCATGTACAATTGAAAATTGAATTTAATTAGTAAAATAAAAACAAATTTCTATGATCACAATAAGAAACACAATGAATCATATTATTTAAGAAAATCTCTAGTCATTCTATAAACTAAAAGAAAACAATCTAATATGTTTTATACATTCCATCTATTGAAAAATCAATGAAAAGCAAAAGATCAAGTTTTATTTGAATGAATCATTCATCCAAAAAAATAAGTTTCAAATAATAGAAAATAATAATTTTTGTCACGATGTATTGATATTTGAGTGAGATAGACAATAGAATTGCTTTAAAAGAAAACGAGTTACGAAATAGAAATAATGACTCCCTTCAGAACACGATAAACCTACGCAACAGTAAAGGGTAACCTAAATCCCAATAGTATTTAATGATTGATTGTTACCATTCAAATCATTCATTTCATAGTTATTCGTCGACAAACAATGCGTTTATCAACATTGTATTTTATTGTTGTTTCTCTATTTATTATTTTACTAACAACAAATGCTGAGAGTGATGTCCGACAACGTTTTGAAGGTCTCATTGGCAAAACTGTTCAAGCTGCATGGCGTAAAATTGATCTCGAAGGTTTTCGTTTTTTTTTTCTTCTTCATTTGAATCATATTTAAATGTTTAATTAAATTTCTTTTTTGTATTTTAGCACCAGGACGACCAATAGAAATAATGCGAGAAAGTTCTCCACAATCAAACAAACCAATAACTCCTGGATATGTTCGTGTCATACTTAGTGATAAAACTGGTCGAGTACTTTATACACCTATTTTACAACCCAATTAATCAAAAATAAAAAGATTTTATTGAACATTAAATACATTGTCTTTATTCTTGTAATAATTATCAATCGTGAATATGTTCGATTTGAAGTATTTCTCTTATTTACAATTGATATTTCATTCAAAATAATAAAAAAAAACTCTGAATAAAAGATGATTATCATGAGAATGTTGAATATCAAAACAAAAAAGAAAACACTTGACAATTAAAGAGGCATCTTATACTATTGCTACAAGAAAGAACGAAATATAGGTTAACAAAAGATCTATATATATATATATTAGTGAATGATAAATATTGATGAAGTACAATATTTTTATAAAAATGAATCATTATAAATAAAAGAATAATATTCATATTCAACGAACGTTATAATTAACTTTGAATAAAATATCATGTTTGATTTTGAAAGTTATTTTATTACATTTCATATATTTCAAGAAAAAGAAAAAAAAGAAGTATATATCGTTTTGATTATTTTATATTAAAAATAAAAATATCGTTTCTATAATAAACAATTGATGACTTTTTATAAATGATGTTCTTCATAAAATTTTTATAGTAAATTTAGCAACAAACACATTTCAATAGGTTTTTTTTTTCTACTTTGATTATTCTTGTCAGTTTTGTTATTGCATGATCGAGTAGTTCGAAAACAACATGTTTGTTTAGTAAAGAAAAAGAAGACATACACATTCAACAAACGCTTACTCACTTATCCTTTCATTCACTAAGGACAAAAGAGCAATGCGTTGTCGTTAGCATTCATCTTTGATTTACTTGTTGCAAATATTAAATGTTGTCATCTTGAGTGTCTGTTGTATGTTGCTTTTACTATTGTTACTTCTTTTACCATGTTGATTGTTTAGTTAAAAGAGAAAAAAAAAGAATACAACTAAAAGAAGCAGAAGAAGAAGGCCACTGCTTCTAATACAACTATTTATTGTGTGGCATCTTTATTTGTCTACAATCGACGCAAAAATATAATGTCAATAATTTATATATGCACAATAATAGCTAAAAGAATGTTTTATCATATTGAATGAAATTAAATTTTTCTTTTTTTTTTTTTACAAATCTCCGATAATAGCAAACAAATGTATATAGTCACCAAATTATTTATACATGTCAACATATATAGATTAAAAAAAAATAGTGATACAATATCTGAAGTATCATCTTAACGAGAGCTATAATGAATCACAGTGTTCTACTTATCCCTCTTTTGCCAAGTATATGTATATATTTATCTCTGACATATCACATTACTCTAGATTTTTTTTGTGTTCATGTATGTTTTGATTCGTATTCAACACTATTAACATTACAAACACATCATAGAAACAAAAAGAAAAAGAGAAATATCCTTTATAAAAACATTATGTTTTCTCTCTTTTCTTAACAAAACTATTGAACAAATCATGCAATCATTATTTTGATTAACATCTACCTTTTCTTTTTTTTTTCTTCTTATTCACTTATTAACAACAATTAAGCGCTTTAGGATCACTTAATAAAAGTTATATCATCGTTTTAGAAACGATAAATTTCGTTTTCTCCTTTAGGTAAAAATATTTTTCAAGAAACTCAATTTTTAATTGAACAAAAGAGAAGCTGTAAAAGAAGAAAAAAGAAAGAAAGCAAAATTGGGTAAAAGACGTGTATGTGTACATTGTATGATATGAAGAAAGTTAAAATAACAATAGAAGTTTAGTTTAGTAGTAATGCTTATGATGAAACATAGGTGTTTTATTAAAAATACACATATATGACGAGTAGTAAAGCGAGAAAAGAAAAGAGAAAGAAAAGACGAACATTGATTGCTTTATTGAAAGTAAAAGAAAGCATCGTATTGGTTTATTTCTTTTTTTTTTCTTCATCGTATAAGATCAATTGATTGGAATCGTACCGGCAAGAGAAGACGGAAAGCAAAGAAAAACAATCATCACCCGACCAGTCAACATTTTCTTTCCATTTTCTTCTGTTTCTCTTCTCCTCTTCGTTTCTTTTCTTTTTTTTTTGCTTTTTTTACACATATACAAAATACATCGACTTCCATAATCATTCACAAACTCAGAATTATTTTATTATTAGAAGAATCAAAATGATTTCATCACCATCACATCATATGCATCAAGCTTATTTAGCTGCAACAGCTGCTGCTTTAGGTGCGCCACATCTATACTATGCAGCTACTGGTAATCCAACAAATACTGGATTAACAAATGAATCATTATCACCTGAATCTTTGGCATTCTTAAGAAATTATTTGCTTCGTTCACAATCACCATCAGATAGACGTGAACAACATCAAAAACCACCTTAGTATTAAAGTTTTAATATTTATTTATTTATTTGAATGTCTCTTTTTTTTCCTTTTCTTTTTGTTTTATTAGTTCTTACATAGCATTGATTGCGATGGCTATTAAACATGCACCACAAAATAAAATAACACTTAACGGTATTTATCAATTTATAATGGAACGTTTTCCATATTATCATGAAAATAAACAAGGATGGCAAAATTCAATTCGTCATAATTTATCATTAAATGATTGTTTTATTAAAGTGCCAAGAGAAAAAGGTAAAATTATTTTTATTTATTTTTCAATTTTTTTTTTCTTTTTAAAACAAATAAATTCTTTTTTTTGTTTTGTTTTTTTTTCTTTAGGTAAACCAGGTAAAGGTAGTTATTGGACATTAGATTCAAAATGTGATGAAATGTTTGAAAATGGAAATTATCGTCGACGTAAACGACGACCAAAACAAATTATATCAACAGTTCAAAAACCTTCATCAACATCATCATCTATACCATTAGATGATTCATCATTATCATCATCTGAATCAAATCATAATTCATTATTAATATCATCAAATAATGATGATGATGATATAAATCAAACAACAAATTATGATCAATATACATTTCTTAAAATAGAATCATCAAATCATAAAAAAAGACATCGTTCACCAACACCTGAAATTAATCATAACAATAATAATAATAAAAAAGTAAAAACAGTTTCAGCATTTTCATCTATTGATACATTAATTGCACCAACGAAAGAAACAAAATCTGTTGATTTATCGTTATCTTCTTGTCGATATAATAATAATAATAATAATAATAACAATAATAATCCATATTTATCAGCAATTCCTCAACAATATTTATCCTTATTATCAAATGGTTTTGGCCTTAATCCAGCATATAATCGACATTCTTCAGCAAAATAGAAATCAAAAGAAACAGAACAAAAAATAAATATTCGAAAACTTGTGTTTTTTTTGTTTTGTTTTCTCATTCCACAAAAAAAAAGAAAGTCTTGTGTCGATTCAGTGTTTTTCTTTTCATTTCTTCTTCTTCTTTTTTTTTTTAAATAACAACGATGTGTATCTGTCTATATGGAAATAATCAATTTTCTTTTCATATATATATACATATAAAATAATAAGTGTCACCCATTTGAAGACATAATAATGATGATTATTGTTTATGATCGAATATAAACAAACAATAAGTTAGCAAAAAAAAAAATATAAACCACTTGTTTTACCATGATAAGCTTCATGGTGTGCGTGTCGATGTGCAATTCGATAATTTCTTTTTCAACAGCATTATGTGATTTGTATCTTGTTTTGCCTATTCTCATATACATTAGTAGAGCATCATATAAACATACATTATGTCCTCGGGCTTGTTTTCTTATTGCTCTATCACGATAATTCTCATCAGATATGGAATGTTGTATATAACAGTATGATGCAATTGACTAGATTTCGATGTTTTTCTAAAGATCATTTTCTTTTAAACCAATCAAATTTATATCCGATAAATAGAAATGTAAAGAAACATATAGCAATAAAAAGAAAAAAAGAAAAGAATTTTTTTTGACGATCATCATTATGAATGATTAATGATGAGACATACGCGTGCCGTATATATATATAGTAATTCTTTTTTCCGGAGGGCTTTTTATATATTAGTGTTATTCTACAATGAATTCTTGAGGAAACAAAATATAAATATGTGTTTGTGGACATCAAACACATCACTTGGCTACAACTACTGTAATACTACATTGTCTAAACTTATGTGTATGTGTATATATATATATATATATGTGCGGTACATCTTCTAGCAAGTGCCTGAAGCAAGACAAACAATCGGAATAGTTTGTTTGTCTAAAGTATTCATTTCGTGTCTATATTAAGATATGTGACGATAGTTTGTAGTTGAAAAAAAAATTAACTTTCTCTATGCGACTTCCGTTGTTCGTTTATGTTTTTTTAACTAGTTGATATGATATTATAAAAGTCAATTTCAATTTGACATATGTATGTAACAAAGAAACCTCATAAATGAAACGAAGAAAATTTGAAGAGAGAGAGAGAAGAAAGAGAAAAAAACCCGAGCTCAACCATTCTCCTGTTTTTTTGCTTTATTATGCTTTTAGTAATAAGATATTTGGAATTAAAGAATAATAATAATAATAATTTAACATTAACTATTTCTCATATATAAACGATATGTTATTATTCATGAATAGCAAATATATACATTTGTATATGTTTGTAGAACAATAGAAAAAAGAGACACATAGACATTCAAAACTCATTTTCTAATTACATATACACAATATATAAAATGCTGAAGATCACAGTCTCCGTCGTTGTTCTTTCTAAGATAAACATACATATATACATACATAGTGCCGTGTAAATCTCGTACATAAATAAACGACCATTAAAGGACAACAACGAAAAGAGCGCATAAAAGGAATAAAAGTATTTATACCGCCATATATACACTGCGCATCTCTGTCTCTGTCTTCCTCTCTCTCTCTCTCTATTTATGACACCTTTAAGAAATGTATATTTTTTCATTGAGTATAAATACACCTGTAAAAACTTTGACTACAAAAGAAAAAAGAAATAAAAACCAAAATTCATTTTGTTATTTGACATTTATTTGTTTGCTAATGAAAGTAATTGCAATATGCTGAAAATTAAATATCTAGCGTTCTTAATACATATAAGAAAATAAACGCCATCATCTATTTGTATATATACATATATATATATGTTCCAATCAAAGTGCAGAAATAATGTTGACACGAGAAAGAGAAGAGCACATTGAATGAGGATGACAGGAAAGTGATCAAACAGTATGCGGCCCGCTTTTGATATCTTTTTTTTTTTGTCTATGTGGTGTTTCTATTCTATTGTTGTTTTAACTAAAATGTGCACTTGTGGTGCTCATCATCATCCAATACAGATGATGATAAATATACTTATTTTACATATAGTCGTCAAAGGAAAAAGATGTATATAAAAATAATAAACTACATATGATGAGATTATTTTTATTTGAAAAACAAAAAAGAATCAATCACAGTTCTCTCTTTCTCTCTCTCTCTTTTTCTCGATCGCTCTTGTGTTTCTTGGAAAGTTAAAAAAGAAATATGTTTGTATCAATATATTGTTTCTTTTATACCATGAAAACTATCGACAATAATATGTTGATAGAAAAATAATTTTGCAATGCAATGATCTTATATTATATTGTTGTTCTTTCAAAAAGAAATAGTTCATATTGTTTTCTTTTTTTTCTTTTTTTTATTCTTTATTATGAATGAAATAATGCAGATGTTTGCCACTAGTCAGTTAAAATTATTATTTCTTTCTCACTATGGTTATAAATAGCAAGCGGAACTAAATGTATGACTGTAAGGTGATATATGCTGTAAATTAATTGAGTTATGATAAAAAATAATTTTAGCATTTCTTTTTCTTTTGCAATATAGTATTTTAGTTGAAAAAAAACTTCCTATGTTTGTCTTGATTGATTTCAATAAATTTTTATTGTATTTTAATATTGTAAAGGAAAAAAAACAAATGTCTGTTCTAAACAATGGAAATGAAAAGATATGTTTGATTGAATTATAGCCGGCGTTGTTTTCAGTTGTAATATAAAGAAATATTGTTCTTTCATTATTTAGTTCGATATACGTTTCTTATAATTTTGTATGAAAAAAAGGTTAACTTTTGCAATTATTTTGACAAAGTAAAACACAAATGTTTTCTTTAATTCATGTTATACCTCATCGTACCGAGAGAGTATTCTCAATTGTCATATGCTATTTGATTTCATATTTAACTCATTTGTATGAGAAGCATTTTTTGCTTTTTTTTTCTTACACAGCATTAGATACTTTGATATCTGAATGTGCTGCTATAAGATTGGAACGAAGTTTGCTGTTGATAAGCAAGTAAATAGAATGACTTAGTGAATTATACAGTAGAGTGCAACAGTGGCATCTAACTTTTGCTATTGTTATATTGTAATGGAATCTTTCAGTATCAGATTTATACGTGTAGAAGAATTTTGCAACTATATAAATAATTTTTATAGTTAAAACAGCATAGTTCTCATCTAGATAACAATCATATATATATATATATATAGTTTGATGATTGTTCATTTATTGTCCTATAGTAATGTCAACTTATTAATTTGTTTTGAAAACAGCCACTTTTTATGTTGCAAAATTTTTTGAAGAAAATACAACCACTTGGATTTCGACAACATAGAAATAACAACACTTCAATGTGAGAATTCTCAAGATGATATTCTATTATGTAAAGTTCATTTTTGAAAAGTAGAAAAAATTATAGTCTTTTACAAAAGTCAATATGCTTTGTAATTTAAGTAGATTCAAAACGAGTGTAACAAAGTGGTTATTAATTAGTTTGAGAAAACGAGTTTTCTAGAAAACCAGTATATGTAGATCTAAAAGAGATTTGTCGTACTCATATTTGAGATCAGAAAGGTCGATAACCTACAATCCCGTGGTTTTCTGTAAGAAAGTAATCAATCAATTGAAGACATTCCTTAGTCAGAAGATTAAAAAAAAAATCATTCGATATAGTAAAAAGCATTAAATCTTATTCAAGTGATAATATAAAAGCAAATCTTTTTCTTTCATTGTCTTATGAAGCGATCAGTTCATAACTAAAATATGAACTTACAATATTGTCTAATATTTGAAGATGTTCTCATACAAATAAACATATAAGAATGACTTATGATAGTGTATGAAAATTTCTCAATGAATAATATTTTTAACATACAATTGTAACAACCAAAACATCAAACAAAATAAAGTAAGACTAAAAAAAAATAGCTCTTAAAATATATCTATTTCTTCTTCTTCTTATCTAATATGAATATATTTTAATTGTTTTTTATATGGTTCAATAATAATTAATTGTTGACAAGCATTTTTACTATTATTTTTAAGTATTTGAAACTAATTATGTTGTAGATCAAAATTTTTATTTCGTTTTCCATATATATGTATATTATGTGCATAAGCAAATTGTATTTTTTGTGAACATTTTGTATCTGATGCTAATACTAATATAACAGCATGAATATTTCCATCACCTTATGAATGAATTAAAATACTATCATTTAATAAAAGATTATTTAAAAATTTTTCAATTATTTTTTGATACCAAAATTGAACACGTGTAAGAAAACAATTATTATAAATCGAATTATATGATTGAAATGGAAAACAATATGATTTACAATTATTATGATATGTGCGTAAATATTGTGGAAGTAAATAATCAGATTCTGATAATGAAATATTCCATGCAAGTGCACGATAAATATAATCAAGTTTGCATAATCAAAAAGATCATCATTAAATGATTTTTATCATCATCTAATCGCATTATATAATCATAATTATTTTTAATTAATGGATGATGAAATACCGTATGTGACCAAAATTGACACATAAAACGATAACCTATAGGACGTTGAAAAATTGTTGGAACTTCACGATTAATTATGTCAATTGTTTGAGTAGGATTTTTTATTAATGTAAATAAAACAATATTTTAAAATATTAATCTTAATTTAACACATGATTTTATATAATCTAAGGTTGAATTTTGTATCTCAGTACCATGTGAATCATAAAAAATAATAACTGAATATTTATTGATTGATTGAGGAAAAAAAATATTCTATTGAATGTAGCATATTAAGTAAACGTAGTGGATCTCCATGTGTTAAAGTAACAATAGGTGCTCGAAATGATTGATTTTGGAAGTCATATTTTAAAGTTTTAGTAGATGGTGATGATAAAAAAAGAAATAATAAATAGACCCAATAAAACATATAAATAAAAAATATTTTCATGTTTTTTGTTTCATTTTAAAATAATGAGAGAAACACAAAAGCCAAAAAAAAAATGGAATTATATGTCTGTCTTTTTTTTTTTCTTTTTTACTTTCTTAAAATTGTTTAACAAACAGTACAATTATTAGTTGATTCAATAGATCGAACGAAAATATTCGAATAGTCATTTTGTTTATGACTATCAACAATAAAATAAATATGACGATTATTTAAATAATTTTCTTGTTGATTAACAATAATATTTATTTTAAATTGATCAGAATCTATAATCAAATGATTACTATGTGTTATCATTACATTATGTTGTAATGGAATAATAAAAATATGATGATGTATAAGACATATTTCACCAATAAGTATATTATGTAATTTAATTGTACCATATTCTGATGAATAATCTAAATGATGAATATATTTTGTCCACATATGTCCATCTAATAAATATTTCATAGCTGGAGCATAATAAGAAACATTTGTAGTTTTTATTGAAGTATTCTCATTTGGTAGAATAACTAAACATAAATGATATGTAAAAATAAAAAATAAAAAATTTCTATTGAAGACTACATACGAAATTTAGCTCCTTTCTGATGTATTTGTTTAGCAAAAAGACTAAAATGATGATAAGATTGAATAATTGATTGTGTAAAAAAAGTTTCAATATGTTCATTATCATGTAGTTCAGGTTTAATTGTTGATGAATTCAAACCATGTTTTAATAATGTATGTAATATTTTTCCATTATATGAATGTTTCCATATATTTGAATCTTCTCCACCAAGATCACAAAGTATAGCTGTTAAAAATTGTATTGATCCTAATTCATAAATACGTCCTTGTAATGGATTATCATATTCAGTTAATAAATTTCGAATAAATAGTTGATAATATTCAATATTTGATTTTAAATTTAAATTCATTGCAAATGTAGCATGCTTAACAATAAAAAAAGAAAGAAACAGAATTTTTCTTTTGTTAAAGAAGTAATAATTCATGATCTTACTAATGAAACACTCATCATAAGATAACGAAGAAGACCATCATTATAATTACAATACCAATTATTATCATACCAATCTTTTGTATAATCAGTTTTTAATATTGTTACACGAGCAAGAGCATCATTTAAATGTATTTGATTATCATTCAAGTTAAGACTAATCGATAGATAGAAAAAAACAAAAAAAATAATTCTGTATCATTGTAAAATGATAAAACAAGAAAAATTATGATTTCATTGATGATGAATATCAAAATCATTCAGAATATGAATTTAACAGACTACTAAATACATCGAAAATTTCTACTGTCATATACCATCGACAAGAAATGTTTATACTAACAAAGAGAGCTTGGTAAGGATAGAAAAATTCTAAAAGATTTTGTGTCTATCAATCTCTCAAATCGAATTATGAAATTTTACTGAGTTTTCCATCAATTTTCAGATATTTTTCCTGAAAATTCTAATAACAGAGTTTCGATTTACAATTTTGTCAAAAGACATGTCTAATGAATGTCAGAGTATATGGAAAATTTCACCCGAAAAGAATGTTCATTTGTCGAAATATTAAATTTCCAACAAATAGCCGCTTGCCGCAAACAGATCATAGAAATCAAGTTTGCTTGGAAATTCCATATTTCGACAAAGATACATTCTTTTCGACTGAAGTTTTCAGAAAACTCTAAAAGTGATTAGAACTATTTAGGATATGAGTGTGGATATTGATGTGAGTTAAGAAAAGATTTACATCCACACACTCACACCCTCGAGATGAATTGAATAAAAAAGTTTCATGTTGTACTTGTAAGAACAAGACTTTTTTGTATTAATATATGTTGCTTATGCTTGATTTTGAAAGGGAAATTTGCACTAAAACGCTTGATATGAAAACAACGTTTTCTTGATCCTATCTAACTTGAAAAATCAATCTCTGAAAGTCATATTCATGAAATTTACATAGCACAACATAAAGAATTAGATAATCCAGTATGAAGTCGTTGAACTTCTGTTGGTGCTAAATAATTAACATATTTATCAGTCTGATTTGTTCCATGAATAAATGATGAAAATTTATGACGAAAATCATGTTTTTCCATATGTATATGATATTCTTTACATTTAATAGCTAACCATTCACGAATGAGTATGGCTGTAACATAACTCTAAAAGAGATCTTATCAATTAATTTTTTGTTTTTTAGTTTTATTTGTTTTTTATGTCTACATACAAATTGTCCGAGACAAATATTATCTTTAAAAAATTCAAAATCATCTTCATAATGTCGTTCTTTTAATTGATATTTAGGTATCCAATCTTGATGCCAAAGAAATTTTCTTTGTAAAAAATTATCATTTGAATGATATTGAATAAAAATACATGAATGAAAATCATTTTTTATTATTTCAGATAAATTTAAATCTGTTTGTAAATCAATTGTTTTAGGATATTTATAGATTTCTCCAATATCTTTATTAATATAATAAAATTCTTTATCTGTTTGTTCCAAATAAAAAAAAAGACAATAATCATTTAAATGAAAATCTGGCCAAATATAATGAATTTCTTTCCATATTAACCATACTAAACGAGCAATACGTACAGCATAATCATCTTTTGTTATAGTAGTTTGTTTCCATATATGTAATGGTACCATTGGTTTAAGAATATCAAGTTCAGCTTCGATTGGAACATTTGGATATTGTTTTAGTTTATTACGAAGTTCATTTATATAATGAGATGAAACTGTTTGTAAATGCATCAAAGTATTATGAATGAATACTAGTGTAGAAAGTTAAGCGCTCAAATTCTATATTTATTAAATTCAATTCAGGCTTAAACAAAGTTTATTATTAGAGAAAATTAAATGAAGACGAATTCGATTTTTGATCATCTTTAATGACGAAAAACAAAACACAGAATATATTAAAAAGAAAAACTGAACTATTGCTCCTATTTTTTCTTTTAATATGATTGTAGTATTATTGATGATAATACAAGTATATAGACATCAGAATTCTTAGAAGCAAAACGTCTAATCATTGCCACTTGGTATATTCGATTTTATTATATAAATCGACAATATAATGCAGAAAACTATTGTTTAATCGTTCGATCATAATCATTAAGGATAAGAATATTTTAAAAATTTAATATATCATAATCTATCTGAAAAAACGTTTACCTTGTGTCATTTATACGTGTATTTTTTAAAATATCTTACTTCCATTTAAATTATTCAAATGAAGAACATTTTGTAACTTTTCTGAACTTGAAATTATTTGGTTACTTTACTGTTATTCATAGAAAATGTCTGAAAGATGAGAAAGAGAATTCAACGATAACTGAATGTTCGAATGTTTATTACGAATATATTTATTTTTGTTACGCCTTTGGCGAGAAATTTTTAATTTGGACTAGTTTTCACTAGAGCAACTTGTTAGATTTTTATAATTTACCATATGTGAATGAATTATGTATATCAATGATATATCAGTTGTGTGAATACCAGCCATGAGTGGCACATTTTTTTTTTAGAGCGACAACGTTCTTAGCAATGATATTAACTGTTATATTATAAATTTACTTAAAGAATCAAGACAGCTGTATCTCGTTCGATTCTATGAGGAAACCTATTGAATCCTATAATCAATATCTAAGATCAACAAGATCTGTTTTACTTTAATTTTTCTTTAGATGGAATTAGTTAATGAACAATCATGTAATCTGAAAAAAAAACGAGTATATTTGAACAAATAGACTATTTGAATATTTAGGGAGAGAGGCATTAAAAAAATGATTTTTTAATCAAAAGTTCTTTTATGTATGACTTTTTAGACATATTGATGTTTCAATGTTTTATTTCCTTTTTTTCAATAATTTGATTTTCTGATACTTTGAATTATGTCGTAGATAGTAGTTATATTCAAGCACTAGTTTATTGAATTCATTAAAAACATACAGCGTGGCCCAAAAGTAACATGACAAATAATTTTTTCGATTTTTTTTTGAACATAGGAAGTTAGATCTCATATTTATACTACATATACTAGGTGACATAATTCAAAGATGCAGCATATGATTAGTATCTAGCTGTTGGAACTGATCCAAAAAGGGTATAAATAATACGAAGCTTGCCAATTAAATTATGTTGCCGAGCTTGTCAATCAGTACCTGAGCGATTGCAACTTTGCAAAGATTGAGAGGGTGAACACATTGAGCAATTTTCGTAAAAAGCTTCGCTATTAAAAACACTTCACAAATACATATTATTGTGTGTCATTTTCTAGCTCTATTATTTTAATAAACGTTTTGTTAGAACTCAGAGTTTGTTTTCTTACTTTTGGCTGTTCTATATTTGTACACTTTTAAACAAATTACTACACTTAAGTACTGATCATATGCTGTATCTTTGAATTATGTCACCTAGTATATGTGATATAAATATGAGAGCTAACTTACTATGTTCAAAAAAAGAATCAAAAAAATTATTTGTCATGTTACTTTTGTCCCACCCTGTATATTATTCACTGAATTTCATTTTTTTTAATTGCATAACAATGAATATCTATTTTATTAAATGTTAGCAATATTTCCATATATTGTTCTCATCAAATCAATAAGTTTCTTTAATCTTCTTATTTGTAAATGGTCAATAACTAATGATATCAAAACCATAAGTCATTATTCTTATTTTATTATTCATTTAACTTATAGAATCCACTCGTATAACAAGTGGTGATATGTACTACTCAAAAAAAAAAGAACACAAATATCAAAACAAAGGTTATCACACACACACACAAATGAGAGAAATATTTTTTATGTTTGTATTTTATTACGTTGTTGGACAATTATGTAAACGCATCGATGAAAATGATTGAAGATTATCGTTCTAATTAAAATATTTCAAAATAGGTTTAATTACAAAAAAAAAAAGAAATAAAACAATGCCTTACTTCATGATCTGTTGATTTATTATTTTTTGTTAGAAATGATTGTGATTGTTGATTATCTCTTAGACGCGTATTATCATCTCGTAAATCACTAATACGATGTTGTAAATGCCGAATCAACGTATCTTGTCTTGTCTCACTACTAGTATTTGCAGAATCAGATTCGAATTTGATCTTTGAGAAAACAAAAAAAAAAAGAAAAAGATCAAAGAATTTATTTAAATAGTATTTTATTCTTTTGTTTTTCGATTAAAAACCTTTGTAGGTGGTTCTAAATGAAATGATATTGAATCATGAGAACTTGAACCATTTAATATTAAACGTTGTTTAGTCAAACTAAATAAATTTCATAAAGGAAAAAAAAAACATATATATATATTTAAAATTAACCAACCGATTAAGTTCAGATGCAATATGATTTTCAAGTTTTTGTACAAGATTATTAATTGTATCATTTTGTTCTGATGATAAATGGAAAGGATTATAAGAACTATTCTGTGAACGATAATGATCAGTATCAGATGGTTGTGATAGACGATCATTATCATGAAAATAATGATCATTTTCTTTTTGATCTTTTGAAAAAGAATTTTTTATAGTTAATTGATAACGATTTCGATTACTATTATTATTATCATTATCATAAGTTCGATTTGAATAATCCATTGTCTTAAAATAAAATAAAAATTATTATTAATGTTATTTAACAATAAATAAATTCTAAATCATTTACACGATCTGTTAAGATTTTTGATTTATTTAAAAATTTTGTTTTTCCTTCAATTTGTATTTTTTGTTCAATAATATAATTTTTAATATCATCAACTGTATCTTGAAGTGATTTCTATAAAAAAAAAAAAAATGAAAAGATGAAATTTCCTGCTATTGTTTTATTTTATATTAATAACATACAAGTGCATTTCGAGTTGGTAATCGTTCAACAATTGATTCTCGATCATATGTCAATGATGTCATATGTCTTTAAAAAGAAAATAGAAAATAAATTTTAAATTTTTTGAAATGAAAATTTTTATTTTTACGAAATTTTTGTATAGACATGTGATGGACTATCCATTGCTATGAGTAATTTTTTAATACAATCATTTAATGAACGAACACAAGTTTTTTCAGATGTTTCCAAATTTAGAAATAATTCATGTTGACGTAAAGTTATATCAGCATTTTTAGTTGAGACATGATCTAATGCATCTTCTAATTCATGAATACGTTCTTGTATACGAGCCAATTCAGCATTTTTCTCCTAAATGAAATTTATTATTGTCATTTTAATGGAAAAAAATCTTATAACTTTTATAATCAACAGTAGTCAAAAAATGCATTATCTTTTAAATAAGACTAAAATTTTTATTTCTATAGAATGTTTTCAATAATATAGATGAGTTAGAACTGTCTGAGTAAAGTATACAATCGTGACTAAGAATGTTAGATCAATGAAATTTCATGAATTGTAATCGTACAAATAAATTGTAATAAATTTCTATCATAACGATTAATTCTCTTTTAGTATACGTCAATTCATCAACAATGACTTTATCTTTGACAGATAAATTAAATGAAGTATATATATAATGAAATCTTTAAAGATTAATCCCTAACATTTAGATAGAATGAATATATTCATGTGGTGACTTCATTAATGAATGTATAGTTCTTTCTTTAACATGATGTCTAAAATGTTGTTCTGAACATATAAAATCTAATATCTTGTAGATGAATAATGTGATGTTTTGTTTAGTATGTTCAGCATACAAATATATTCAATTATAGAACTTCCTCGTGCTCTTTCAAGCCTGAATAAAACACTACAAATGTCAAAATTGTTATTCTATATGAAAAAAAAACGTATTCAAAAAGGATAAAGTTTTGATATTAAGAGACATTTTTTTTCCATTATCAAAATAAAAATGCATTGAATTGATTGAATTATTAGATACACAATCCAGTTCGTTACCATTCATACAATATTTAAAAGGTATCTATTTAAACAATAATGAAAGTGTTTTGATTATTTTACTTAATTTCAAGAGCTGTCTCAATAATTTTACTTAAGAATATTATGAAAATAAATCTTTTTCTTTTTTTGTCAAAATATATTTTAATTAATGAAAATACACCAATCATAATAACTTATAGTTATATAATTAAGAATCTACAATGTTTCACTTCACTATATTTCTCATGTTCATTTATGTTTAATAAATAGCATATACATTAGTGATGATCCTGTCATTTCTTATTATATTATAGTATAATGAATGACAATTCATGTGGAAATTGTGGATAATCTTGTAAGTATGACGAATTCTAATTTGTATCTCATTTATTTATTAGATATACACTTAAGATTTCAAAATAAAAAAATTTCAAAATTTTGAAAACGAATAATTCTATACCATATATTTAATTTCTAGAACGTTTATTTGTCATTCATCAAATACTAGATATATTATTTTTTTTATAACAATTTTTCATTATATCTACATATATAGAAAAAAAAAATCGTATCTATGATATACTATTGATTAAATCGAAAGTCTATTAGCTCTTCAAATACTAGAAGATGAAGAAAAAAAATTATTAAAACACTGAATCACTGTTAAGAGTACTTTTCATATGCAAAAAAATGTCAAACCTTAAAAACTTTTTTTTCTGCTACGTACTGATTGAAATTGATTACGTAGTCGAGTAATTTCATCTTGAAATTCTTTGCGACATTGTTCTTTTGTGCCGTAAACAGCATTGATCCGTTCACGGCCACTGTCTTTTAACATTAATTGGGCTTCACTCGATACCTACAATGAAAAGAGTATGAAGACGAACAAGAAGAAGAAAAGAATCGAGAGTATTAAACAAGAAAGAAATGATCTCAGATAAATAGACCTACATTAAACAAAAACCTCTTCTTTTCTATTTGCGCATTTCTTTTAATGAAATATTAATTTATAAAAAAAAAAACAGAAAACTAATTTAGTTTTAAAGCCTTTGTATAAGAATAGAAAGAAAAGAAATCAAAGAATTCTATGACGAACCATCTGTGTATCATGTAATTTTTGTTCTAAACGTTGACAACGTTCTTGTTCAAGTTTTAATTGATCTTGTAAATCTTTAAATAAATGAGATTTTTCTTCTTCAAATTTTGTTCGTTCACTGACTAATAATAGTTCTTTATGTTCATTCCATACTTTTCGTTCACGTTCCATTTGTTCTTCCATCTATATATACAAACAACAGACAAAACACAACATTGTCTTTATTTCTTTTAGTTAAATTGCAATAACAAACCTGTGTTAGAGCATTTTTATTAGCTAATTTAAGTGCAATAAGTTCATTATCTTTTTCAAAAATTAATGCTTTCAATTTGGCTATTTCTCGATTTTTAATCTATATATTCATATATAGAATTATCATTTTTCAAAATCAAAAACATTTAAATAATTCTTACAAGTAAATTGTTATTTGAACGTTGAGTAGGATTATGAGCAAACTTTAAATATAAAAAAATATTAATTAACAATTCATTTAAAATTAAAATAATATATTTAACTAATTGTTCAGTTGAAATAGATGTTGATCGTGATAATTCATTTTGTTGATTCGAATGACCAATTTCATTTCTAAATAATTATTTTTATGAATATCAAAAAAAAATTCATCTATATTTTCAAAACAAAACAACTAAAATTATATTTAATTATAGGATATACTTTATTTTATCAATCATATCATTTTTTTGTTTAAATTCATTTTTTAATAATTGATATCTGTCTTCAAATGTGTCTCGTTCATGTTGTTGCTGTTGATGATGATGATGATGGCACGAACGTTGAACATTCATATTTCCTTATATTATATTATATTTCTATTTCCTTCAATGCATTTCTTTGAATTTCAACATCTAAGAATCGAAGAAGAAATATTTCATGTATCAATCAAGAAAAGAAAGTATGAAGTGAAGTGAAAGTATACATGATGAACAAAGAAGAAATCAATATGATGATGGTGATGGTAATCAAATATTTGAAAACGTGTGGTTGTCGAAATAAATTTCTGTTGATTCTTTCAATAGAATACAACCGCAACTTTATCGACATGTATATCCTTGCTCTCTCTCTTTTTTCTCACTTCTCTCTATACATCTCCTCTATTCTTGGCGAACAGACTCTCTCTCTCTCTCTCACACATTCCTTCATCCTTCTTTTACATTCATTTACTTTTTTTTTGTGCTCTTTTAGAGTGCTACTATGCTTTCATTTTTAAATAGACTTGCTCTATACTCAAGAAAAAGAATTTCACGTTCTTCTATATTTTAAAAAAATAGTATTCTATAATGAAATAAGGTCAGACACTTATCTCTTACATTATGTTCAATAAAATCCCTCGAGAGAAAAAACACAAGAATGGACAATGTAACTAATATGACAAGTACACATGAGGTTACATGTGTTGAAATCCCAAGGTGTGTAAAAAAAAAAAAAGAAACCAGTCAAAACGAAACATAATCTGACTACATATATTAGTCGTAATTTAATCAATATATACTAGATCGGATTTTTGTTTGTCGAAGCAAATTCTCACTGAAAATAATGAAAAAAAAATATTGCTAAACGAACTTTTCATTAGATATCATAGTGCTATTAAATATAGATTCATTTTTTTTTCTTAGATAATTAGTATTATTATTATTATTATTATTCGTATTATGAGTTTCTGCTGCTTCGTTTCTTTTTTCAGAATACACATACGCGCAATTAAATTCCGAAAAAAATGACAAAAAAAAAAAAATTGAAGGCAAATGAAAAAAAAACAAACGATACAAATATTATTATCGGACGCGTATATATGAAAAATCTACACATTCAAACAGTGGAATTCATCACCGTCAGATGAGAGAGAGAGAGAGAGAGAGAGAGAGAGCAAGAAAATAAACAAAACAAGAAAAAAAATAATAATAATAAATCACGAAAAAAAAAGAAACCTATTTAAATGTAACTCGTTGACCAACTGCTGTCGATGTCATTGTACTTGTTAAATCTGATAATGTTCGTGCATGAGGATAATCAATATCATCTACACTACCATGATGAGTACTCATTCCACCAAGATGTGGATGTTCATTATGACTACCAGTACTGTCTTCAGGTGTTTTTGTTGGTTCATGTTCATGTTTTTCTCCACCAATTGATACACTTACTGGTCCACCAGCACTTGTCGTTGTTACAGTTGCACCAGCATGACGTTGAAATGGTTGTATAGAAAATCGACGATTTTTACGTCTTTGTCCATGTCGTTTAGTTAAATGTGGATTATCTTTACGCATGGTTTTCGTTTTTAATACATGTAATGATGTATATAAACGTTTCAATTCCGCCTTTAAACAAAAAAAAAACAAAAACATTTTTTTTCTTCTAATTTAAGTTTCTGTTTCATAAATAATAATCTTACTCGAATTTCTTCTGGATCCATATCTCGTAAATTTAATTCACCAAATTCTATATCACCATTTAAATGTAATTTAGTTATAAGATCTGCTGGTTCAATACCATCAGGTACAGAACGAAAACGATCACGTCCTGAATGATCTTCATGAAATGGTCGAAATATATAACATAACTTAAATAAACACAATATTAAAAATATCAATAATTAATTTCAAAAAAAAAAATTTTTTTTTTTTTGTGTTTTTAATTTACTTTTGTACAAAAAATAAGTATCAGCATACATGTTACTGTCGAATGACATCGTAATACAGATAAAATAAAAAGTGTATCAGGATCAACTGTTGACCATAAACAATCTCTATCAAAATAAAAAAAAAAATAAAAAAATCTTTAAAAGATATTTTTTTTTAACAAACTTACCTAATAATATGAAGTAATGTTGAAAAAATCATTTCACATACAATAGCAATAGTTATTAATTTTCTTTCATGATATTCACATGGAGCTGTTCTTGTACTATAGATAAAACGAATACCAATACAAAGAAAAATAAATTCCGCTAAAAGAAAGAAAAGAAACAATGAATTTTTAAAAAGCAAAAATCGTTTTTTTTTGTCAAACAAACCAAATTGAACAAGATAATCCCATGAACGTGGTCGACATGTTTGAAAATAAGAATTTTCTTTTCTTGTAAAACCACTTCCTAATAAATATTTTTTAAGTGATATGTTTTCATTTGAATGATCTATATTAACTAATGTCCAACCAAGTAAATAACCAATTATTGTTATTGAAATAAAAAATAATATACGTAAAATATCTTTTTCTTTAACTTGTACACAATGAGCTTTACGAGATTGAAATTCTGCTAACATTCTTTAACAAAACAAAATGTTTTTTATTTTGCTTATATATTATTTTTAAATAAAACTTACTTATAAATACGTAATATTAATGTTCCATAAACAATTGTAAAACCAAGTTCACGTAACCATGGCATTATTAAACAAACAATTCCATGTGGTCCAAAACTATCGACAATAACCTAAAGAATATCGAAAAAAAACTCAATTTTGTTCTAATCATATGATTATTATTTTTTTTTCTTCTTCTTACAGATGCATAAAGCAATACGGCACCAAAAAGTACAAGTTCAAGTAAAATCCACATTGAATGTTTAATAATTTTTATCTTACGTCTTTGAAATACAATAGCAGCAAGTATAGCAACAAAAACAATAAATATCGATTGTATTATGATTATTATTGTACGTAAAAAACGATTATGTTTTAAACGACATGTTTCAAGATTACATTCACATGTATTTATCATTGATTTTAATGAATCATCATTTGTTTCATTCCATTCTAATTGATTACCATTAATTGTTAAATTTTTATTATCAGATGAATCTGAACAATGACATTCATAAGCACCTAAAGTAAAACCTTGACCAATTTGATGAATACACTAATCAAACAACAAAAATAACATATGTACAATAGAAGACTATTAAAAAAAAAACAAAAAAACTAATCGTTTACTTTCATTCCAGACGGACATTTATGTGTATCACCAAATGGTACATCATTATTGGCACATTGATTTATATCGACAGTTGATATATTGAAATAAGTGACAAGAAAATAGCTATGACAAAACAAAGTATATACTATCATTAAATTGTTTTTAGTTTCTTTACCTATTTGCTAATGGAAAAATGTATGCCATAATAAAAGTTTCATTTTTATTTTTTTCACATAAAACAGGTCCAATCCACCAACCATCGTTAATTAATGAATAATTATTGTTTATTGTTTGTTTTAATGTTTCACGTGCATTTGATGGTGTAAATGTTTGTAATATAATATTTACATTTTGTTTTAATTTAACATCTTGTATTGAATCATAATCGAATTGATTCATTGTTGTTGTATGATTACTAGCACGATAATATTTTAATGTATCATAATAAACATATGAACCAGGATTATTATTATTATTATTATTATTACTTGATAAAGGTGTTGCTATCATTAAATTGATTTCTTTTATTGATAATTGACTAGCAAGTAATAAACGTATTGATATACTAAATTCATCGCGAAATTTTGCTAGAGCAAAATCACCTAGATAATTTGATGATTGATTTATTTTATCACGTATTTTATGTGCTGTGTGTTTTAATGCATTAAATTCTTTTTGAAAATATTGTTCAACTAAACGAATGATTTCTGATGATAATGAATTTTCTAATGGTAAATGATAGATTCCATCTGATGCCATATTTATTGTACAATCAGCTAATACAGATGAACTTGTTCGATGTAATAATATTCGACGTAACATATTTGTATAATGTTGTTTATCATTATTTTTAGGTGTATTTGTTAATACTATTTGTCTTTTTAAACGATGATTTAAATATGTACTCGTATTTTTTTGTGCAGGAAATAAAATACAAAATGTAAGAAGTAATAAAAGAAATATGAATAGAAATATAATTATATATGAACGAATATGTATGTTATTAAATAGTGATTGTTTTGATGTAGAAAATGTTAACATATTGTTATTATTTCGAAGCTGGATATAAGATGATGATGATGATGATGATGACGACGATGACGATGATATATGACCGTAGTCATCGCGTGAATGATAATGTTGTTGTTCGATTTTTTTCTGTTTCATGATTAGGATCACAATAATAATATTTTCAAGCTACGAGAATGAGGAAAAAAAAAAGGAGAACTAGATAATTTAATTGTATTCTCTATATGATTTTCCATTCTATATATATGTTAGTTATAGAAAAAAAAATGAAGCAGAAGAAATGAAAATTAAAAAAAAACCTAATAAAAGAACATTTTTTTTACCAATATTTTATTATATCGATAGTTTAACAGTAAATAATTACTATAGAAAAATCTTTCAATCTTCATTTCTGTTGGATATTTATCTGATAAGACATTTTTAATGCGTCTTAGAGATTATAATTTATTAATATAGACTAAGACTCATTTGCTTACTGGCGATTTTTTTTTACTTTATCCTCATTTGTTCTTCGACATCTTCTTTTCTTATGTTATCGACTGTTTCATCTAAACTACAATACACGACTACTCAACATCGTCGTTTCAGAGACTAAATCTGTTCTTTCTGTCTTTCTTCTTCGTCTTTGTCGTTGTCGTCGTCGTCTTCTTCTAATTCTTCTTCTCTTCTTTTCCTGCCCGATGCCCGGGCGCACGCAAGAAGGCTTGTGTTCGCAAGCTCGCCCGATAATTGATCATTTGTTTTTTGACATTCACTTGGCTCTTCATTCTGAATGCAAGCGTTGAATCGTGTGCGGTAATAGTAGGTCGTGCAGGTCTCGAGCTATGCTTGTACGTCAAAG